TGATACTAAAAATCATGTAGATTAATTTGGTGAACTGGCAATGATCAGGAAGAACAAAGTCTTCTACTTTAGAGTAAACAATGAGTATTGGGAATATACATAACAGAATTCTGCACTGCTTATTAAGTTGAAGCAAATTTTACAGTTTTATCAATATAATTGTCAGAAGCAATCAATTCTGCAATTGCTACTAATCAACAACTCTAAGGCATGCCACTACCCAAATAACATCATGTATACAAAGATGATTAAAAGAAGGCTTTCATTGTGAAATTTGTGATTTACTGGAATGAGGGGACAGAAAAGGGTAAATCAAAAGTGCCTAAGCCCTATAATTCAGCAATTGCACTATTAGGTATTTACTCAAAGGATAAAAAAATACATATTCAAAGGAGTACATGCACCCCAATGTTTATGGCAGCATTATGAACAATAGCCAAATTATGGAGAGAGCCCAAATGTCCATTGACTGATGAATGGATAAATAAGATGTGGTATGTATACACACACACACACACACACACACACACACAGGAATATTACTCACCCTTCCAAAATAATGAAATCTTGTCATGTGCACCAGTGGAGATGGAGCTAGAAAGTATTATGCTAAGTGAGAAAAGTCACTCACAGAAAGACAAATACCATAGAATTTCACTCGGAAGAAACAAAACAGATGAACACATGGGAAGGGGGGGAAGACAAGGGAGGGAAACAAACCACAAGTGACAGAGGGGGTGGGGGATGGGCCAGATAACTCATGGATATTAAAATGGGCACTTGTGATGAGCAATGAAACCAATATTGTACTATATGCTAACTAAAATATAAATTTAAATAAATAAATAATAAATAAATTAGTGTGAGGGGAGTGCCTTAAGCAATACAAAAGCAGAAATTAGGTCTTCATAAGGTAGGTGAAAATGCTCTGAGGGAAAGTTAATGGGATGATGATGATGATAATTTTAATAAGAATGTCTTCCATTACAGAGTCTTTTCTATGTGTCGGATAAAATTTTAAGCAGTTTTAATAGAGTGTCTTACTTAATCCTCAGAATAATCCTGAAATACCGGTGACACTAAGCTTAAACATATTAAATAATTTATACAAGCTAGTATTCAAACTTGAGTTGCCTGACTCCAAGAGTACACATTCTTTAAAAATTTCTCCAAATTGTTTTGATGGAAGGTAAATAAAGGCCTGAGGAGATGCTACGCTTTTAAGCCTTAACATCATAAAGAAGGTAGGAATGAGTGAGAAGCTATTCAGAAGAGAAAAACTAAGATTCAGTGTATGTATAGGATTGGCTAGTTATAGTCAGGAAAATATAGTTTGATTCGTTCTGTCACAAGGTGGGAAATTATAGAAAACAAAGTCAGAAAGTTCCTGAGAGCAAAAGCTTGTGCTTAAATTTACCTACCAAATTCTTGAAACATGGTGAAAGTTGTATTTTCAGAAGACCCAGTAGGCCACAGCGGAAATAAAATAGTGTAATAATTAAAAGCACAAGTCTAGGAGCAAATCATTGAACTTATAGCCCAGCTTTTATAACTGATCCCTGTAGTAAATGAGCTTCTAGAAGTCTGTTTCCTTATCCACAGTGATATCTTGGATGTGATGTGTAGGAAATATGACCATGGCTATGAGAAATCAAGTAGGTTGTTTAGCTAAAAGGCTTGCTACAGTGTATATAGTTAGTGTTTAGTAACCACTAACTTTTATGATTAATGTGTAAAAGATAGACTATGGAAGAGAAAGACTGACAGCAGGGACATAACTTAATAGGCTACCAACACAGTCCAGATGAGAACAGACAAAATCCTGAACTAGGACAGTGGTAATAGCAACAGAAAAGGGGACAGTTACACAAGATGCTTCAGAGGCATAAGTGCTTTGTGATTCATTAGAGGTAGGAGGTAGAAACATGACTCTGACTGTTCACGCCTGGCTCACTGAGACAATGATGGTGCTATTCCCAGATGCACAGCAATTACAAAGACATGATGGTTTGGAGAAAAAATCATGGATACAGAATCTGTTTTGATATATTGACTGTGAACTAAAGGTGTTCTTCAAGTCCTATCAATCTACCACTAAGGCAATATTTTTCTCAAGTGTGATACAGATGTGATTGGTGAGAAATTAGGACAATTCAGGTGGTTTGTGCACAGTTGTCACAAATGACATTGAATTACATGGTGAGAAGATTCCTGTGAAATGGCCCTTCTACTCTTCTGTTTACATCTATGAAATGTTTTACTTTGGTGCCAGCTGAACTTTCCCATTTCTCAAATACTGTTTTCTTCTCTCATTTTCAATATACTCAGTCTGCAGAACACAAATATATGCACTTAAAATTTAATAACATTTGTTTGCTTTTCACTATATTTTTGTAGCAACTTCTATCGTGTCAAATGCTACTGATTTTCTAATTATGGCCCTAATATGAACTTTCTTTTAAAAAATCCATTTTCCTAAAAACAATAATGAATCAATTTAAAGAAAAAATACTGAGGAATTAGCAGTATAGTCACTATTTGGATATAATAAAGTCATGAGAGGTGGGCTTGAATGAATGAAGGTTAGAAAACCTTGCAGTAAGCTAGGTCAGACTTTAGGCAATACTCTCACTCAGTTTTGATGCATATTAAACTAATATACATTTACTCTAACATACATTTACTCTCTCCCAGTTTTAATGTATATTAAACTAATATACATTTACTCTAAGTCTAGGAGAAAATCACATTGTAATAATGGCTGCAATTTAAAAGGAGTATAAATTTGATATTCTGATAATTTCCCAAGAAAGCTGTTTTTATAACTTCCTTGTAGATATTAACTAGTTATAAAGCTCTGCTTTGAAGGTAAGAATGGCATCAGAAATCAAACAAAAGGTCATGCAGAAACTTCTAGTCATTACAAAATCAACTGTCACAAGAATCGGGCTGCCTCTCGGCATTGGTGTTAAGTTTCCATTTAGTCCTTTCTCTTCACAGATACAACTAAAATGGCACGGCACACAAAATACAAACCAGCAAGAGCAGAAAGTGGATAACAAGACGAACAGGGATGCTAACCACCATATTAAAATTCACAACAATGGCTGCAATCAATTAAATGATGCTACTCAAAACCAAATCTGAGATCAATGAGGTTTTGCTTTGATTTCCCTAGGAAGATTAATATCTTTGTTAAACCTTGGTAATATTTCTTGACATGCTTTAAGTACGTAGGTCATTTTCTTTTGGAAATATCTCTTAATAGAAAATAAATACTCTAGATAATTCTCAGTATGAAATATTGGGGAGGGAATGATTGAGGACCAGTGATATAAAGCCAACCCTTTCCATCACCACCATTTGGTTTTAATGCCCCTTTGGGCTCAAATGACTAAAAAGACTGGCTAGTCATCAGTTTTGGGGTTCTGTTTTAGGGTGCTGGAGCAATTACAGAAACATGAATATACAACACAATATAATGCCCAATTTCTCATTCTGGAAGCATGCAGACTTAGAGATTATTTTTACACACGTTCTTCCTTTCACAGATGGAAAACCAGTTCTAAGGCAATCCTAAATCTTTTTTAGGGACCAAATAAAAGACTGTTCTAGGACTTGATGTTCAGGGTTTGCAGTGAATAAGAGAACAGAAGGCCACTTTTCAAAAATATACTCAATCATTTCTTTGACCTTCTTTTCTATTCTTTTTGCAAATTAAGAGAGCTAGAGAAATCTGCAAACACTGTTGATAATAGTGTTAAGACCAGATAGTACTTTGATTTGGATGATGCTGGTTATGAAGATATAATCTTAAATTTCTATTTTTGCATAGGTCCTTAATTTGTTTCTCTGTGTACAGTAGACCAAGATCTTATTCCAAATTAGTCAAGACAAAAGTATGTCCTATGAATTTCAGGTGAAAAAAAATCAGGTATGTGTAAATAAATCAACAGAAAATAGCTCAACTCATACAGGAATACATATCAAAATACATATCTTAATAGACAGTAAGCTGAGAACCCAGTATTTGAAACTGGGACATATTAAAGTCACTTAATTTTAAAAGGAGTAGCTTGAAAAATTTGCATGGAGTATATACTCAACATTGCAGAAGGTTTATACTGGCCACCCAGGAGACAGATACGGTCTCTGAAATAGGTTTAAATTATATCACATTGGTTTTTAAATAAATTCAATTAATACCATTAAAGTCATGATATTTGTTATAAAAATAAAGATTTTTAGTTTCTCTTAAATAATCTGAGGTCCTGACCACATTAGGTCCTATACACACTTGTGAATTATAATATTAGTAAAAGCTACTATTTATTGAATGCTTACTAAGTGCCAGGTATCATTCTAAGCACTCTCCTTTTTTTTTTTTTTTTGTATACATAGTATACCTGTGAAACAGGTCTTTTGTCCACATTAGTTATATGAGAGAGTTAATCCCTGAAAAATTCAGTAACTTTCTCAATATCTTTAGCTAGTAACTGATGGAGTTGGGATTTGAAACCAGGCCTGTACCTTATCCATGATAAATCAGATCAAAATATTAAATTACTGAATGGAGAATCTGCCCATATCCATTTTGATCATACTTCTGTATTTGTAGAAAGCTAATTTTCCCTGTGTGATTACTTTAAATGTTACTATTTCAATATACTATAAAACCTATTTCCTAAAAGAAACATTACACCTACACCTAATAAATATTTTCTGCTTTTAAAATAATTGCTACTCATTTCTGCTTAAAGAAATTAAGCAAATAAGTTACTAATCCAATTTTAATCCATTTTGCTTCAAACTGATAGAATCCATTTATATTTATCTATTATGCTAGAATACCAATTATAATTTTCTCTGGTAAATTAAAACACTTCATTTAATTTTCTGCATATCATTTGTAGACAGATATTGAAAGTCTTCTGAATTATTTATACCAGAATTTTAATTCTGGAAGGGGTCATTCAACATTTTTTTCAAATGCACCTTACCAGAAGTTGTCTTCACTACTTCAGTGGTATTTCTCAGTCCAACAAATGAAAATTGATAAAGCCTCCAAGATCTTGTGTCACCTACTTCAACAGAACTACGCTTCCATTGGTAGACAATTTCTTCACGTGGATAGCCGTCTATGGAAAAGCACACATTTTAAATTATTTGTAGATGAATGTATGTAGCAACCACCTTCCATGAACAAGACACTGAGGTAAGTATGAGAAAGATGGAGTTATAAGTTAGAAAAGGATCTTGAACTAAAGAGCATCACAATAGAGGAAATAAATACCATGACATCTTATCCCAACAAGAAGTTAAAAGTATAAGGTCAAAATTATCCTTGAAAGTCACTTAATTTGCATAGAAGGTATGCTATACCTGGTTGTGTGTGTACTATATGCATGCTTTACATTATCTGCATACAAAAAGTAACTAGTATATGATATATAGTACATATGCCAGATATCATTTTATGATGAAGGGGAGTAAACAAGGTCATGCAGAAACAGAAAATAACAGAAAAGGAGATTCAAATCCCTCTCCAGGGTATGCCCTTGGAGTGGAAGATGACTGGGAAAAACAACTTCAACTATTTACATTATTTTCTCTCTTTCAATTTCTTGGGACTTTGTTTTAATACATGCAGAAATCTACTATTAACAGCAGTAAGTAGAGGAACACCTGGGTGGCTCAGTCCATTAAACATCCAACTCTTGATTTCAGTTCAGGTCGTGATCACGTGGTTCATGAGTCTGAGCCCCACATCAGGGTCTCTACTGACAGTGTGAAGCCTGCTTGCATTCTTTCTCCATCCTTCTGTCCCACCTCCCCCACTCTCTCTCTCTCAAAGTAAACAAACTTTAAAAAAAAGGCAGTAAGTAGAAATGTCAAGGGGAAGATACCAATGAGCACTATTATAGATTCTGAAGAAGTTAATCATGTTCATCCAAGAGAACAGAAAGCCTTCATGAAAGAGGTACTGTACTTATAATGTAGTGATTATCAGTATCATTTGTTAGCCATAATACCCTAGAGGTTTCTTCATTTTTTTTACCTAAGTTATTTGTTTCTTGATGGAGATGATGGTAGTACTTATTTCATGAAATTGATGGTCATAGCATATTTGTTGAATGGATAAACATGATTAAATAAATTATAGAATAAACTATGTAGGGATGCCTGGCTGGCTCAGTCTGTAGTTCATGCAAGTCTACATATCAGGGTTGCAAGTTCAAGCCTCACATTGGGTGTAGAGATCAGTAAAAATAAAGCATAAAAGAAAAAAATAAAATAAACTCAAGTAAAAACAGATAGATAGATACATAGATGGATAGATAGATGACAGATAAATGATAGAGAGATGATAAATAAAACTAGATATCATCTCAACTATTTATGGACTAATAATGCTTTTAAACTCTTAATTATGGAGGTTGATTGACTACCTGGAATAGGATCTCTTATGTGTTCTCCTTTTCTTTCTTTTGGTCCAACTGGTTGTGTATTATGTGTTTATTAACTAAGATGAAAGGAAAAAGAAAGCATGATTTCCCAGAATGGTATGGAGCAGGGGTAGTGAGACAGAATGTGTTGAAAATCAAGAAAAAGAATGATGATTTTAGGGAACACCCTATGGAGAACATGTTGGTGATTTAACTTTTTTGATAGCAATAAGTAACATTAAGTTGTGTTTGGGTTGAGAAGTCGGTTGTCCATCAGTGACCTAAAGACAGAGAAATCATCAGCTCTTAGATTTTAGTTGACTCAGAAGAGTAGTCCCAGTTGAAAAATTGATAAAAAATAAGTCTCATCTCCTAAAGCTTGAGAAAGATTTTACTCAAAATTATTTCATTCTTGGATAAAGTAAAATATATGAAATACGATTTATAATGGGAATTTTCCTTTTTATTTTTTTAATGTTTTATTTATTTCTGAGAGGGAGGGAGGGGAGAGAGAGCAAGAGAGAGAGAGAGAGAGAGCGCGAGCAGGGGAGGGTCAGAGAGAGAGAGAGAGGGAGATACAGAATCTGAAGCAGGCCCCAGGCTCTGAGCTGTCAGCACAGAGCCCAATGCGGGGCTCGAACCCACAAACCATGAGATCATGACCTGAGCCGAAGTCGGACACTTAACCGACTGAGCCACCCAGGCGCCCCGTCCTTTTTAATTCTTTTAATGTTTTACTTTATTTTTGAGAGAAAGAGAAGCAGAGAATGTGTGAAGGATGGGGAGAGGGAGGGGGATACATAGAATATGAAGCAGACTCAGGCTCTGAGCTGTCAGCACAGAGACAGATGTGGGATTCAAACTCACGAACCCATGAGATCATGACTTGAGCCAAAGTCAGATGCTTAACCTACTGAGCCACCCAGGTGCCCCAATATAATGGGAACTTTTCTAAATAGATATGATACATAGTGATATTTTTCCTCTAGTTCCTTCTGGAATTTATGTAATGAGGAACAGATGATTGCTTCTCTTATCATTGACTTTTTTTTTTCTTTTTGAAAGGGTAGTTATTGGGGCACCTGGGTGGCTTAGTCGGTTAAGTGTCCGACTTTCGCTTAGGTCATGATCTCGCGGTTCGTGGGTTCGAGCCCCGCGTCGGGCTCTGTGCTGACTGCCGGCTCAGAGCCTGGAGCCTGTTTCAATCTGTGACTCCCTCTCTCTCTGACCCTCCCCTGCTCATGCTGTCTCTGTCTCTCTCTCCTAGAAATAAATAAAACATTAAAAAAAAAAAAAAGAAAGAAAGGGTAGTTATTATGATTTAGTTGGTTCATATGAGTCTCTGTCACTCCCTGCTTGGGAAATTCTATTTATAGAAATATAAACTTAAAATTCATAATCAGTTTTTCATTCTGCCTAGTATGCATAGCTGGCAGATCAAAAATAAGAAAGAGGTGAGAAACCTAATATGGATGCTCAACAAATCGTGAGGCAAACATCTGGGGGAAACTAAGGCTTGGGTTTAGTTCAGGCAGGAACTAGCTATGAAGCTTTATTTGTATTATAATCATCACAGATCTTCTTGCTATATAGTATTGTCTGATAATAATAATAATTAATAAGAATAATAGAGCTCTTTACTGAATTTTATTGTGTGTAAGGTAGCATACCAACCATTTTACACATATTACATCAACAAAACAATATTGTGGTGGGGCTTGCCTCATCATCTCTATTGGGCAACTGAGATTCTGGACTTACTGCAGGATTTAATTATTTGCTCAAGTCTATAGTGATGGAGTTGAGATTTGGACTACACCCATAAGATGCCAAATATTAGTCTTTTACTCACTGGTAGATAACTAGTTTTAGGTATTATTCAAACTCCAGACAAGGTAGGTAATTTTTAATTTTGCTATCTTTAACATGCATACTGAAATTGAAATAAGCAGATGACACTGTTAAATCTATGTACCCCCTGCTGAGTAAGGGAGAAAATAAGTAGCAAAGAGGTTGCTACCCTCTTCTTCGGAGCCAATAGGGGGCGAGCCGGGAAGAAGGATGTAAAATTCACCATTGTACCTTTCCATTGAATCCAGGCCTGGCTTTACAACCCTTCAGGTTTTGTGCTGACAGCTCAGAGCCTGGAGCCTGCTTTGGGTTCTGTGTCTCCCTCCCTCTCCCTCTGCCCCTCCCCCATGCACTCTCTTTTTCTCACAAATAAATAAAAATTAAAAAAGAAAAGAAAAGTGTCTCTAGGCAACCACTGTGAATTTATTAAAAATTTATATCCCAGTGAAACCTACGTGTTAGTTCTAAGAAAACAGATCCTTTTCTTGCAGGAATCACTCTAATAGGGCTAAGCTGATATTATGATGAAAGTAACTGTCAAAATCTTCAAAGTCAACAACATTGTTTGTTTCTGCATTCTCTAGGAGCCTCCCAATTAGTTGGCATTGCAATTAGGAAACTGCTGGTGAAAGAGGATACAGAATACAGAATGAGATTACTTACAGCTGGAGAACTCTAAGGGGCAGGAATGTTCGTCCATTGGAAAATTGTGCAACTGCAATTGGCACTCTGCATCAATTGTCAACCTAAACAGAAGCACATGAAACACAAATAGAGTTTAGACACAGTTTTAAGAATATACATGAATACAATTTTTAATGACTATTCTTCATCTTTGTTCCTGGAGAATATATCTCATATTCTTATTGATAATTCAAGATAATTCTCCCTGAAGAAATCCACCAAGTCCATGAGAAAATTAAGACTTAATGTCATCCATTCATTTTCACAGACCAAACAATAGGCTCTCATTTACCTCAATTCCATTTTTTCCAGAATTTATGACCACGTAACTTTTTGGCAAATTAATTGCACACATGAGATTGCTCAGTGAATATATTTAACTTAACAGAACAAACTGTTTTAGGAACTTAAGCTCATTTAGTGTTTGCATGTAAATGAATGCTGATAATTCTCAGATCTTATCTGCTAATTAAAGCAGAACCTTCTGTTTATAAGTACTTGTTAGCTGTTAGATTTAAATTACTATATGTGAGTTTTAAAATACTTATATTTCACAGTGGAGTATTATGCATTCTTATAATGGAACACTATGAAGCCATTAAACTGGAAGTTATAGAGTAGAAGAAAATGGCAAACAAGAAATAGTAAATACACATATACAGACATATTTGAAAAATGTTTGCCAGTGAGCCAAAATTGGTTTTCATCTGGGGTGCTTATTAAAGGTACAGATTTTCTGGATCTTGATATAGCCTAGGACTCTAAGAGGGAGAAATTTAATGGAATCCCATATGTTTTGACCATCTTTGGACAAGTAGGAATATATTCTAAAATTGTAATGGTGGTGAGTCAATAATTTTTAAGATTTCTTATTTGTTAGCTATATTTCTTACAATGTACAGCTAATAATCTTGAATTAATAAAATACTATTTTATAAATATTAGTTTATTTTAAAAGATTTTACAATTCAGCATTATTTTTAATTGAGGAGATTTCATTTTTCTATTGTATAAAAGAGCAACTACTGATCTTAAAATGTAAGTGATAATTATTCAGCCTTTAATCATCCATGTGGAACTGGGTATGATCACTTGTTCTTTCATTTAATAAATGTTATTATGGCTTTATTGTACTTTAATGTGATCAAAGTCAGAAAACTAGCAGCACAGTTAAGATTTGAACACATTATTTGTCTCCAAAGCTGAAGGTTTTAATCATTGTCATTCAATAATTATATGCTCTTCAAAAGAAAAGGTTAGTTTTATTCATAAGTGAAATTATAATTAAATTTGATATTTTATTATTTTTAAGTTAAACTGGAATTATTAAAATTGAAAACACTTTTAGAAAGATTGCAGATACGAAGACAGATGTACACATATATAATCTATGCACACAGAAATATTTATAGTTTATAGATTAGCAACAAGAATAAAATCATCTCTGTATACATTCACAACTCATTCAAACTTTGAATCTTATGAGTAGCATTTTTGAGGTTATTTCCATAATTAAATATTGGATTGAGATTCTACAAATTAATACAAGTAAAAAAATGACTGTACTTAATAGGACAATAAAGGGACTTGAGATAGTGTGAGTGACTTAATTTTTCAAAAGCTAGACTGAGCTTTGATTTATCAAACTTTGATTTCCACTATATTCTAATTTCAATCATTACCTTATCTCTCATTTAATGAAACCCATGATGAATCCAAACTATATGGAATGAATTCTTTTTGTAATTGTGGCCATTTTTCCTAGTCACTGATCTTGGGTGGGGGCATGAGTCATGGGAATGGTGATGCATTCTTTCCAATAATCTCCATCAATTCCTACCTAATTCCTCTAAATAAAAATGTAACAAAGTAGAAACATTAAATTTACTAATAAAACTTTGAGATAGATCTTCTAGCACCAAGACCCCTGCAACCAGATAGCTGCACCTAAATCATATACATAGAAATTCTGGAGAGTTGCCCTAATTCATACTGATAGTCAAACAGAGCTAAGAACCAAAGCCAGATGTGTCTGGTTCTTAAGTCTACATACTTAACTATTATGTTGTTTAATAATATACTTTCACTGGGGTGCCTGAGTGGCTCAGTCGGTTGGGCATCCTACATCAGCTCAGGTCATGATCTTGGCAATTCGTGAGTTTGAGCCCCACATCGAGCTCATTGCTATCAGTGCGCAGTCTGCTTCAGATCCTCTGTCCCCCTCTCTCTGTCCCTCCCCCACTTGCACTCTCTCAAAATTAAACATTTTATAAATAAATAAATAAATAAATAAATAAATAATAAAAATGAAGTATCAAGATAATGGCATACAGGAATTTAAGTAGAAAATCTCCCAAAAGTTATTTCATATTTAGTTCTGAAAATAAAAGACACCTCCTTCAAGTTATCCCTAAAGAAGTCTATTCCTGAAATAGCCAATAAATTAAGTCAAATAGCATATCAGCATAGTGGGGAGTGGGAGCTGGCAGATTAAACTCATTGTAGTTACCTGCTATTGCATAGCGAAAAGACAAGGAGTTACAAGGAGACCTCCAAACCAAAATTCCTCCTTTAGCAATGGTTTCCTTGGAAACAGAGACATTTCCAAGCATAACAACTGGTCATCCCAATGATAACTGTGTGTTAGTTTCCTTATTTTATAGCAGCAGGACACACATGTAAAAGTCAAGACTGACGCAAAGATCAGGTAACCTTACAAAGTTGAAACATTTCATGTCTCTGTGAGAAAACAGAGTTCTCACATCAATCAGAGAAAGTAAGTTCTACCTATGGCTTTGAAAAAGCATATTGATAATAGAGCAAAATACAAATTTTGTACTATCGTATACTATTTTGGTCAAACTTGCCCACCCTGAAGGTTTGAAATTTCTTTCATCCCTCTTGTTTTAAGCGAATGTGGGTGATCTTTGTTTTATTCCCAGAGATTATTCCTTTCCTTTTTCAAAAGAATACCTTAAAGTGTAGAGCACTCGACCATCATTCCAAATTCTCAGCATCCTATTAGGGGTGGTTATCCAGTGTGCATCAGCTTTCTTGGAGTTTCTGAAGAAAGTGTCTGGAATCCAGATTTTCCCTACCATGTTGCTATTCAATCGGAGGACTTTAATGGTGCTGTTAAATTTCAGACGTCTGTCATACCATGTTTGGGCAAAAAATATGTCAATTGTATATTCCTGTTTTAAAAAAAAAAAGGTGTGAAATAGAACATTTTTAACACAGAGTTATAATGTGGAACATTTGTTAGTATTTATCATTTGTATTCTCATTACCAATACAAAGCAAAGCTACTCTGGTTTTGATTAATCCAAAAGAAGGCAAAAGCTTTGCTAAGGAGATATACCCATCTTTTATAGACAAATTAATATTTTTATGAAAAAAAATAGACCTGTTTAGATGAATTCTAGCAAAAGATCATAGTTTTAATATAGTCATTTGCATTCAGTGTCTGTAGGGCAGTTTCTCATGTTACTTTGGGCTAGCTAATTCTTTGCTGTTGGGGGCTGTTTTGTGTGTGTGAGAATGCTTAGTAGGTTCTTAGCCTCTATCCACTAGACACCAGTAGCACAATAACCTCTGGATATTGTGATAGCTAAAAATATCTTCAGACATTATCACATGTGTCTTGAGGAAATCAATCACATAGGTTCAGAATCACTGCTAAAGAGTCAAGAAAGTCCATAGTACTCAAAACAGCCCTAAACTGGAGCTCTGGAGGAAGGCTCAGTTGCCTCATAATAAAATTGGGATCTTTAAGAACCTGTCTTGTTATGTAGTGTGAAGATGGAAAAGGAGAATGCACATAAAGTGGTTTTGGTCTGGCAGAGAGCAAAAACCCAATGCAAGGTAACTTTTAAAATATGTTTTACTATCAAAGCTGTCCTTTTCACTAAACACAAGGAAATGAACCAATTAAAAAATAATCTTTAATACTGTGCTTACTCTATCATAAAGCACATTCTCAAAGTGCTGTGATGAGACATGATTCTATAATGATTACCCTCAAGTATATATCACTAAAGTGGCAAGTGGTTGATTTTAATTAAAAGAATTGTTTGATATGAATTCAGACCATTAGACCCGGAGTAGGAACTCCCAAGTTTTGGTTTGTCATATTTAGATATTACTTAACATTATTTTATAACTTTTAGACATTTCACTGATGTCTAGACATATTTTATAACTTATAGACATTTCACTGATGTCTATAAATGAAAAAAACTCAGTGTTCTTAGAACCTGAGAGCTGAGTGATGGGAATCACCCACATTTCCTGTCCGATACCACTAACCAACCACCATTCTATAATGAAGAACATACATAAAATGAGATTATTTATTTACCCAAAAATACATAGCCTCTCAGGATTACCCTAGAATCTCCTTCCTTTGCCTCACTTGCATTGATTTCTTTGCAGCTCCTAATGAGGTGTCTCATTGTAACTGACTACATTTCCACCAGGTAAACCACATCACTCATTCATCATTCTGTTCCTTATTTGTAGTCTGCAAGTAGTAAGAAAGGAACCCATCTTATGAAATTCTTTATCAACTAATTTGTGATATGCCAGTAGATAAAGTAATTAAATAATTTCTGAACTAAATTTTGGCAAGAAGCAAAAAAATAAATAAATATATAAAACCCACAAAAATAAAATCTTTAAGATTCATTGAAACCAGCATGTCATAAAATATGATTCTGGGATAACAGTACTGGGGACTAATACTCCTGAAATTAAAAGTTCTATGTTTAAATAAACTATACATACAGCTTTGTCTTTAATATTTACAATTTGCTTTGGAATGTCAAATATGCTGAAAATTTTAGTTATGCGGAAGAAGATTGTTGGTATTTGCTTCATTGTTAAACAAACAAACTTACTTGCTTGGAGTATGCAAGTAGTAGAGTTTTTTGGGTTTTTTTTTTTTTTTTAATCACTGTAAGTGAGAGCACTTAAAGTCTCTCATCTCTCTGACTCAAGAGACCATCCATATTGCCAGCCTGATAAACACCATTTCAAAACTATAGTATCACTAATGTTATGTTTTATGTTATGGCATGTTGTACTCTGTTCTATTCTAGATTCCAATCTAGTTTTTATGTCAGATTTGGGCAGAAAGAATCATACAATAACAAAGCTACATTTATTGTTATATCTAATGCACTATTTTCTCTGATAAATAATTCCAGTATGAAGCAACCTGTCTTCTCTATTCCATTATTTTCTAAAAACTAGTGGAACACTGTATTTTATTTTATAGTAAACAGTACTTACCAAGTAAGCAATGATTGTTGAATTTTAAAAGTATAATTTAAAAGTATATATTTACAAAAATTAATTTGTATACATATGATCATATTTAAGTCTCATAATAAATTATAATTATCTTCATATTATAATTAAGATTCTGAAATAAAAATCTGCAAGATTGTCTCTTTCTTATAAATTTTTTATTAGCATATTCTTTGCTATTTTCATGATACTACATTCTCTAATATTTTACTAGAATGGACAAACCATTAAAACTTACCATATTAATAGCATTCACTGGACCAATGCTGTTCACATACATGTCTGTGTGAATTAATGTTGGTTTCACTTTAAAGAGAATGATAGAGATATGTGCATTAACATTTTAATGTTTTAGTCTGTGTTATTCTAGAAATAAATTTATTTTGCTACATTAGAAGTGATTTATTCACAACTAATTTGGTGTTGGTGACTAATTTATTACATTTAAATAACTATTTACTTTCAAAAAATCTCCTTTTTAGCATGTAAATGCAGTAACTAAGCATATTAGAGTTTTGAAACTGATTATCCTTTAAAATTACATTAAAATGAACAAATAAAATACTGCTTAGATTTTCTTCGGCCTTTTCTCAGATATCCTGAATTTTACCATTTTTCTTCAAGCCCCAGAATCTTTTTGGGCATCATAATCTGACTTGACCCATGTAGAAAAAAATAATACTTAGTGGTTCAGAAAAAAATATGTATTAAAAACGTGGCATATACCTATAGTGCAACAAATATTATAAGTTGTTTTTAAAACATTTCCCTCTATTGATTCCTTTCCTGACCACTTAATCCTCATACACCTCGGCCAACACAAAATCAGTCTTCCTAAATGACATATTCAATCGTGTGACTCATCAAACAATATGAGGAAACCATATGGAAACTCAATATACAACCATTTGTCAAAGATGACTGATATTAAAACTCATGTATTATTACATCCATGACCAAATGGACGTGCTCCATTTTCATTTAAGAGTTAATGAACAAGGATTTATAAGATAATTCTGTACCTCAATTCAACAAGGGTGTTTTCTGTCATCATTATCCACTTTCCCTGAAAGTGTCATGGCCTAATGTTCTGTGTTGGATTGAATTCTTCATTAGTCCCTGCACCTATGCCCCCAGTTGGGCTACTTCTCTGCCTCTGAACTTGGTGCTTAACCATCTGACTTATGTTGGCCAATACTACACAGGCAAGTGAGTACACTAGTTCTAATCCCAAACATTAATCCTTATGAGCTTCCACTTTCTGTCTTGCTCTTTGTTATTTTCATGAGAAGGATACTCCTGGCTAATCTGCTGCTCCTAGGAGTAGAATGAGAATATAGCTTTCTTAAATGAGCAGCTGCAACCTGGTTTAGCTTAAATTAGACCACCTCTGGCAAAGTGTTAAATAAATGCTTATTATTATAAGGCACTGAGAGTTGTGGCACTTTGTTTCACAGCAGTGTGTAACTAATACATCCTTTCTTTTACCATTATTTACTTGTTTGATTTGATGTTACTTCATAAAGCAAATTGTCATATTTCTTCTATTGCCTTTGCCTAAGATATTTAGGGAAATTTGAATTTCTAGCTCTCACGCCTCACTTGAAGATCAACTTTCTTCATTTTCGATTTATCAATGCCTCTCCCACCCCCAAGCCTGAATGCTATTTACACATTCCTTATCTATTTTTACAATGTATAATGATCATTAAGTATTTCTGATTATTAGAATATGCTAATGTTTTCTTCCAATGTGTTTGTGTCTGTCTACATCACTTCACAAAATATTTTAACGTACCTCCTATATCAGGCCGTAGTTTATTGTCATATCCTTCCAGGAGGTTATTTAAGATGACTGTGACATCACCCTCAGGAACTTTTGGAGTCAAGACCCATGTTTTGTTAGAAGCATAATCTTCATAGTCATCATCAGATTTTTGGCTAGTGAGGCTAAGAAAACAGAAAATATTGGTCAGGAAACATAGACTTCATCCAAGAAGACTTTTACTCACATACCACTGTAGAGGAAGGGAGAAATGAAACAGGATTACAGGAATGCATTACAGTGGATGACAGTGACATTTTTCACTGAGGGTTAGTCTAGCTAATTAAAATGCACAGATGTAGATTAAAATTTATTAAAGTGTACTCTTCAGTTTTCCAGAATGCTCTGTCTTCCCATCTGTAAGTATCATGTTTTACATGTTATTTTTGTCTTTTCCATATTTGACGTTCTTCCTGTCCACCTACCCAACCACACGAAGGACTTATTAAGAAAAAATGATTTTTGTGAATGCTTAACCTATTTTAAATAATGCTTAAATCATCATAATGTAGTCTAAGAATTCACACATAATGTCTACTTCCTCCTCTAAGAAGTTAACTTGCTCCAACCTATTAATGAAAGTAAGAGACTGATAATTAGATTCACTCCCACAAACAGCCAGACAAGCCTCTCCCCTCTCAATTGAACTACTAAAGAGAACTCGGTATTGCTGCTTTTCTTCCCCCAGAGTGTGTGTATGTGTATTTTTTCCCCTCACTTGCACTGAAAGCAAGGGCGGTTCATTTATCTTTGATTGTTTAGAACCTGGCACTATGAAGAAAAATGTCATTGTAGACTTTAAACCAGTCTTTATTACAGCTAAAGTTCCTAACCTGGAAACTCATACTAATGGTTAATGTACTATAATTGTATAAATGAAATTACCTACTTTGAGTGATCAAATAGCCACATAATATCCTGTGATTCAGTTTTCAGTGCCTGAACCTATCAGAAAACCCCCACAATTGGACCAGAACTTAAGGCTGACTTTGGAAAGATATTGGAATTCCCAGTCCTCGCTTTTCCCCATGCTTCAAGGTCCAACTCCCCTCTCCCCACCCTCCACACGAGAGGATTACATTTTTCAGATCTAGGAGCAATGCAAACCTTATAACAGCTGCCATTTTCATTTTTATCAGCATTCAGTGAATGTTGGTTTCTTTTATGGTTTATAGTAATTTAAAAAATTACAAACTTAATATATAAAGTCCCATCCCCATCTTCATTTTATTTTGTAAATATATGGTAAAGAATGGTCTGGTCAGAAATCAAACCACCGCCACATTTATTACCCTGAATATACATATGCATACATACATACACACACACAAACCATATTTATCATCTTTCTTCAATCATACTCATTCATCAATTTAAACATATAAAATATATGTATGTATATGTGTATATGAATAGGTAAATAGTTGACTACATATGGTAGAAGAAAGCTGATTGCATGATTAACCAGGTTTGAGAATGAGCATAGGAGATAAACTTTTAAGAGTAATCACTGGCATGGATCAACTTAGTAAGCAAGTAATCTCCTCTTTTATTCCTTTAAAGCTTTATAAATAGGAAATGTTATAAAAACTGAGCCACACATCTGCATAAAACCTATCATAGCAGCCTTACATCTTGTACTTCGATTGGCATAACAACTTTAAACAACATTTAAATATCATAAAGCACCCATTCAGGGTATGATGGGCTGCACAAAGCTTCAAGGAACTCTCAAAGAGAAAGGCGTTGGTGCTGGCAAAGTCCAGTTCTCTGCTAGGAAAATCCTTGGACCTCAATTCATCATTTCTCCAGAACACTGCTGAACACTGCCTAATAGAGCTCTAATCCTATGACCTATATCCTACCAGTTTAAGAAGAAAAAACAGCTCTCTGACAAAGAAACTTTCAAATCCCTTCAACAACTTTGAGAAAAGAATGTGGTAGTCCCATTGGACATCATCATAATGGGACTGTATCACCATTTCATTCATCCATGCAAAAGTGCCTTAAAAAAAAAAAATCTCTCCTTCTTCCTTTCCCCTGCCCTCTGTGTGTCTCTGTCTCTCTTTCTGTCTCTCTCAGACAAATGTACCCTATTAAAGTTTCTTCAAGGGAAGGAAAGAAATATTAAATCATTTGGTTTGCTCAGTTAAAGCAACTCCTCACACTAACAACTAAATGACCCAAGCATGATGGTACTGTATAACTTTTGTTACCATCATCTGCAGGCTCCTAGGAAAAATACATTAAGTAAAAATACAAAGGATACTTGCTTAGAAGGAATACCACTTTCTAGAATTGCACCAGTAACTTTTTTAGAGTCATCATCTATTAGATGCCAAAATAATAAACAGATTATTTCATATAAAATTATCAGTAACAGACTTTGTCATACTTGAGGATGCCTACTGAGCCAGAGAGAAGTAAAAAAAAGGCATTGAGAAATTAAGAGTATATATTTTTAAGTTAGGAAGTACTAGGTCTGCTTTCTGGATTCATCATGTCTTTCCTCTATCATTATTTTATGGCTGGGGGCAAGTTATTTAAACTTGCTAACCTTCACAAAGTTATCATCTTTAAAATAGAGCTAATGCTAATATTCTAGCATTTTTTGACATATTTTTGTGTCAGGTTAAGATAGTGGTTATTAAGTGTTTCACACAGTGCCAGACACATAGCCCTGAAAAATAGGCCCATTGTAATTATTGTTATATTACTGTTATAATGGTTAGATTTATAACAACAGCTCCAACCATGTAACTAAAACCTGAATCTATAGAAGGTACTTCCAGGTTTTGATCTAACACATGCTGAGAAGAACTAAAAATAGATGTTTTCCAGGAAGAAAAATAATGAACCCCTACATCATAAATAAATGAAGTTTTTATTCTCTAGAGTTTTCCCAGCTGAGGTCTAAATTAATGGGACTGATGCATAATCTGGGATTGTTTCCAGATTTGTCTTTAAAAAAAAAAAAAAAGAAAAAACTGCCTCTCTCATTCAACATAGGTTATTTCTTTCTCCAGAATTCTGTGGAGTCAAGACTTCTTCATTTATAGGTAGGCTGTCTAGAAATAGATGAATGCTGATCATTAGAAAAATGCATTCTGTGGAATTATCAACTTCATAAGAAGGCCTGGGTATAAATAGATTGATAATGATTCAAGAAAATGCACTTGACAATTGAGTCCACTGAGCAAAGATAAAGGTGAACTTCCCCCTAACGGTATCTATCCAAATGCAGTAGCCTTTACAAGCGATTACTTGTTCTTGTACCCTTTAGTTTAAGAATAATCTTATGAAGAGAGAGAACTAAAATTGAAATTACTCTTAACTTATCATACTGAAGAACATTTTTTTTGTAATCTGAGTAAAAATTTGTCAAAGACAATACTCAAAAATGTAAATTTTCATCCTTGAAAGCTTTTTATTTTTTATTTTATGTTATTATTATTTTTTTTTAAATACCAGGTTTTTTTTTTTATTTATTTCTAGGAGAGAGAGAGACAGCGTGAGCAGGGAAGGGTCAGAGAGAGAGGGAGTCACAGATTGAAACAGGCTCCAGGCTCCGAGCTGGCAGTCAGCACAGAACCCGACACGGGGCTCGAATCCACAAACCGCGAGATCATGACCTAAGTGAAAGTCGGACGCTTAACCGACTAAGCCACCCAGGCGCCCCTATTTTATATTAGTCTTTAATGTTTATTTTTGAGAGAGAGAGAGAGAGAGAGCGAGCATGTAAGCAGTAGAGAAGCAGAGAGAAAGGGAGACACAGAATCCAAAGCAGGCTCCAGACTCTGAACTGTCAGCACAGAGCCCAATGTGGGGCTTGAACTCCTGAACCCCCAAGATCAAGACCTGAACAGAAGTCAGATGCCTAACCTGACCCAGGCACCTCTCATCCTAAAAGCTTTTTAAAAAATGGGAGAAAGCCATCTGACCATGAACCTTGGACAAGCAACATGAGTATCTCCTAAGATATTAACACAAATTCAGAACCTTGGGCCCCACTGAGATTCCCGAATCAAAATCTTTAACAAATTTACAAGCGATTCACTTGCACGTTAAAATTTGAGAATCTCAGTCAATGTTTAAACCAGTGACATTTACTCCTGGATGAGGTAGGGGTTAGCTCTTTAAAAATAGATTCCCAGATTTGCCATTTAGATCTTCTAAGTCTCCATGTTGTAAATTAGGTTACTGTATTTTATTTTCATGTTTACATTTTATGTATGATTTGCATTTATGCATTATTACAAACATGTTTTAAGTTCATGTTTATAATCAGAAACAAAAATTGATTTTATTTATAAAAATAAAAGTCACCTAGAAAAACAAAAATAAATAAATAAATAAATAAGGACAACTGGATGGCTCAAGTCTGTTAACCTTCTAAGTTCAGCTCAAGTTATGATCTCATGGCCTGTGAGTTCAAGTCGTGAGTTGGGCTCTGTGCTGACAGTTCAGAGCCTGGATCCTACCTTGGATTCTGTGTCTCCCCCTCTCTCTTCCTGTCCCCCACTTATGCTCTGTCTCTCTCTCTCTCTCTCAAAAATAAACATTAAAAAAACTTTTTCAAGAAAGAAAAAAAAAACTTGACTGATGTTCAGTGAGAGTTCAATTACATAGAAGATGCTAAATATTCCATTTTTGGTACATATTCTAAATGTTTGACACTAAAGATTAATCATGCAGTTTATGAATTTTTTTAAAAAATGTTTTATTTATTTCTGAGAGAGAGAGAGAGACAGTGTGAGCAGGGGAGGGTCAGAGAGAGAGGGAGACACAGAATGTGAAGCAGGCTCCAGGCTCTGAGCTAGCTGTCAGCACAGAGCCCGATGCGGGGCTCGAACCCACGAACCATGAGATCATGACCTGAGCTGAAGTCGGACGTTCAACCGACTGAGCCACTCAGGCACCCTGAAATTTTAAATTTTAATCCATATATTTCAGATTTCTGGAAATTCAATAAATATCTAAGTTTTTTGAGAGGAAAAATCTCATCATTGTATCCTCCCAGGGTAATATAACAGCAAATGCTTGGGTGAGATATAAAAACATTTGTCATTTCATTCAGGTATCTTAAAACCTACTGGTACTGGACATCATAAAGGCAGAGTATATA